GGATATTGGGCAATCAGCTGATTAATCTGTTGAGCGTTCATAAAATACTCCTAAAGGCTTAAATAAAATGAGAAAGCAGGAAGGTGCAGCCCAATGCGGTGAGGGAGGCAAGGAAAGTTGCAGAGGTATAGTATTTAAAGGTTTCGTTTAATGTAGCACCACAGTATTGTTTGACTAACCAAAATAGAGAGTCGGTCACAATGGTAAAACCGATGGCACCTGAACCAATCGCAATCGCCATGATTTCAGGACTAATATCCGGATAGAGCGGTAACATTGGCGCAACGATTGCAGTTGCACCCATCATTGCAACAGTGGCAGAGCCTACAGCTGCATGTAAAATCAGCGCAACCAACCAAGCAAGTAAAATTGGATGCATATGCAAGTGGGAAAGCGTAACAGCCATTGAGTCAGCTAAACCACTGGCTTTTAAAATACTGTTAAATGCACCACCAGCCCCAATGATAAATAAGATGTTGGCAATTGAAGAAAATGAGTCTTCTGTGGCTTTTAATAAGCTTCCCATCTGCATATTACGACGTAGACCAAGGGTGTAGTAGGCAACAAATACCGCAATAAACATGGCGGTGATCGGATTGCCTATAAAGCCTAAAATGTGTGAAAGCTGAGTGGATGTATGACTATTTAATTCAGCCACAGTTTTGATTAACATTAACCCGATTGGAAGAAATACCGTAAATAAGGTGATTTTTAAAGAAGGTAAGTTGTGTTCTTCTTTTAAGGTAAGCTTTGAAAATTCGACAGGTACGGGTTTAAACGGTAAACGTTGACCAACTAATTTTAAAAACAGTGGGCCACCAACCAGTGCAGCGGCTAAACCCACCATTAAGCCAAAAATAATCACGGTACCGACATCAGCCCCTAGTTTATTGGTGACATAAAGTGCGGCAGGGTGTGGCGGTACCACACAATGTACAGCCATTAATGCTGTGCATAATGGAATAGCCAATTTAAACAAAGAGGTTTTGGTATGCTGCGCTATAGAAAAAGCCAAGGGAATTAATAAAACCACACCAACTTCTACAAATAAAGTGATGCCACAAAATAGCCCAATCAACACCATGACCACATCACTGGATATCCAGTGACACCGTTGCAAAGACAGGGCGATACGTTCAGCAGCGCCAGAGATTTCCATCATTTTGCCGAGAATGGTACCCAATGCAATGACTGTAGCAAGGAAACCCAAGGTGCTTCCAATCCCATTTTCAATTGCATTGACCATATCCAGTAATGGCATTTTCATTGCTACACCGACAAAGAAGCTTGCCAGAAGTAAAGCTAAAAAGGGATGAAGTTTAAATTTTAAAATAGTGAAAATAATTAACCCGATACTGGTTAATAATATACCGACATCCACGAAATTGGTTTCCATACCATATATCTCTGTGACAAAAGTTGTTCTTTGTCTATTGAAGTTAAACCAGAGAAATCCGTCAAACGATGATATTTGATCTACGGGTTAAAATAATTCACTTGAAAAATAAATCCTAAATAAATTTTGATTTTTAAATGATTTATACGTTATTTATATGGGCATAGGACAGCAAGAAGCATGTGATCAATCATTTTGTTTCAGCAAAAAGGAAAAGGCATGACCAACGCACATAAAAATCTAACCGGTTTTCAGCTCTCAAAACTGTATACATTTGAAGTTGCGGCAAGACATGAGTCTTTTGCACTCGCCGCTGAAGAACTGTCTTTAACCCCAAGTGCGGTAAGTCACCAAATTAATTTGTTAGAAAAAGAACTTAATATCAAACTGTTTTTACGTTTGCATCGTAAAGTAAAGTTAACCACTGAAGGACAGCGGATTTTAGCTGCTTTACAATTTTCATTAGACTCGTTAAACGTTGAAATTAAGGCACTGCAAAATCAGCAACTTGTTGGCTCACTCACGATTTATGCAAGACCATCGATTGCTCAGTGTTGGTTAGTGCCCCAATTGCCTGATTTCATCCAACGCTATCCATTGATTCAACTTTCAGTTTTAACGGGCAATGAGGATGTAAATTTTCAACGTAGCGGAATTGATATTGCGCTTTATTTTGACAATCAACCGTCTTTTCAGTTGAATTATCAGTATTTAATGGACGAATATATTATCCCCGTATGTAGTCCTGCATATGCTGAAAAATTTAACCTCTACGATCATCTAGACAACTTAAAAAACTGCACATTGCTGCATGACTGCCAAGCATGGAGTAACGGCACAGGCGCAGATGAATGGAACAGTTGGACGCAGCATTTTAATGTAAATATGGATCATTCTTCAGAGATGAGTTTTAACCGATCTGATCTGGCTTTAATTGCTGCTAAAATTCACTTGGGTATTACCATGGGACGTAAAAAACTAGTAGAAAAAGACTTGGAAAGTGGTGAGCTGGTAATGCCATTTAAAAACATGTATTTAAAATGTGATCAGCACTACTATATTACATCATTGAAAAATAATGAATTACCTAAAGTTAAAGCATTTAGTGACTGGATAAAAGCACGAGCAAACTCAGAAATAGGGCATCAGTGAAAAATCCTCAACCCTAGAAAAAGCCGCAAGCCTTGAATAAAAAATAACAAAATCAATTTTATGCTAAAACCTAAAAATTAATATTTTTTGCTGTTAGAATTTTTATAATACTTGATTATTATGGTTAATAGACTTCTTTCATAAGTCCTTTTTAAAACCATAAATCAACATAAAAGCGCCCTCATCCTAGCCTTCTCCCAAAGGGAGAAGGAACTTTCAATACCAATATGATTCACTCTACATGATCATTATTTGATTTATGAAAGATCTTTAATATTTGAGTGTTTATATTTTAATAACGCCAATCAGAATAAAAAATAGACAAACCTAAATATAACGAGAAATAAAAAAGAAATAAAAAGGAAATAAAAAGGAAAGATGCATAAGTTTTTATATTAACAATAGGATGATTGAGGTGGAAAAGCTAAACTGAAAATGACATTTTAAAATATAAACAACAACAAAATATACGAATTTTAAGGCAGTAAGATCATCGAAAAATACAGATTCTTCCCTAAAGTCATGTTCAAACCTTTATAAAAAAGTGAAGTTTAATTATAAATATTTATTATTTTTCAATATTTTGATGGATTTTGTTGAAGGTTGAAAAGCAGATCTACTAACATTGTTATTGTAAATAAAATTGTAATTGATTATTATTCTCATTTGTTGATTGTGTGTGTATATTTGTAATCCATATTTTTACTTCTGATTTGAAGATACTGGATGACCTGAAATATACACATTTAATGATGATTAATATCATTTAATAAGATTTCTCCCTCATCAATTTAAACCCTGTTGAGCTATATGAATAGGGGTAGGATGAGGGTAATCGATATAACAAGTATCGAATTTAAATATTGATTTTTTAAATAGCAAAATGGAAAGAATTTTTTAATTCAACAAATATTCACCTCCAAGGAAACGAACATGAAAAAATTGGCGCTATGGATGACCAGTTTAACTGCAATGGCAACTGCTGGATCAGCGATTGCTGCTACAGTCGATCAATCCAATGCTTATCAACAGGCATATGCATTGTATGTGCTTTACCATCCAAATAATAAAGAGCAGAACAGTAGTACTTTAATTAAACAATATACTCAAGACTATGCCGAATTGTTTAAGGCGAATAAAAAAGTCAATCAAGTGCAGTTTGTTCAATACGAGCAAGCACGTTTAGAGCCATTACTTAAACAGCGCCGTGAAATGTCAGAAAAACAGGCGCATGTACGTTATGGCATTCTCGATAATAATAAAGACCAGAAACTGACTTTAAAGGAATTTCAGGAGACAGGTTTAAAAACCTTTAATGAGTTTGATAAAAACTTGGATGGTTTAGTAAATGCAGAAGATGCCAAATTAGCGGGCAATAGTAATGCAACGCATGATGGATTCCGCGTGAAACTACCAATTTCGATGCCGATGCCAAGTAACATCAACGAATTTATTAGCCAATATGGTCAAGGGAAAAACTATGTAACGCTTGGAGATTACCTAACAGCGCGTGACAAACAATATTTTGCAACCGATGCGAATGGTGATCATATTGTCACTGAGAAGGAATATGTGGATGAATTTATGCAACGTTTTGATGCCAATATCGCAACAGGTAAAGTCAAAATGCAGGAAACGGCAGCACAACAATTTCAAGTGATTGGCAAAGGTAAAACAACAATTCAAGCCAGTGATATTCAAAAATTTGCTAAAAATATGGATCAAGCGATCAGTCAATAAATTATAGTCAATACGTAATAAACAGTGTCTCGGTCATCTTGAGGATGATCGAGAAATTTTTTATTTAAAAGCGATAAACTTTTGATAAAATTATAATAATTTTGAATTAAATTTTGTTTAAGATTTACCATATATCCCATTAGAGTATGTTGCGTAGTCTTATAAATGAGTTGGATAAATTAAAAAATTCAATTAAAAGGGCAAACTGAGCTCTCATTTTCTTTATTTTTTTGCTAAGATATTGCTAATAATTCTCATTCTCTTTAAACATGTCTGATCCTATTAGCACGCTATATCGTCATCACCATTCTTGGTTATATCAATGGTTAAAACGTCGCCTCAACCATAGTGAAGATGCCGCTGATTTAGCCCATGATACTTTTCTGCGTATCTTAAAGCGTAAAGATGAATTGTATTTTGATCAGCCGCGTGCAATTTTGACCACTGTTGCCAAGGGAATTTTGATTAATTGGTATCAACGTAAATCGATTGAAAAAGCCTATTTAGAGGCGCTTTCAAGCAGACCTGAATATGATGAAATTACACCTGAGCAAAAAATATCGGCAATTGAATCTTTATGTTTGATTAATCAATTACTCAATCAATTGCCTGAGCGCCAGCAACAGGTCTTTATTTGGTCACAATTAGAAGGGCTGACTCAACAGGAAATTGCAACACGCTTAAATATTTCTACCCGAACCGTGATGCGTGATCTGGTTTCAGTACTGAGTCAATGTTTAGCTGTTATGGATTAATGCCTGCATGTTGCATGATCAAATTTATCAAGAAACAGCGCAATGGATCATTAAAATCCAACACGCACCATTGAATGAAACTGAACAGCTTGAATTTGAACAATGGAAACAGCAAAGTTCCCAACACCAAGCTGCATGGTCTAAAGCCGAACGCTTATTGTATAGCCTTGAGGAATTTCCCGAAGATGGGCAGCAGCTGATTCAGCAAGGCAAGAAAAATGCCCAATTTAATTTAAACAAACAACTGGTGATTGCCTGTTTACTGTGTTTTGGCAGTGTCATGCTATGGAACTCGGATTATCGCTATATATGGTTATCGGATTATCGTACTGCGGTGGGTCAGCAGAAACAGGTTGAGCTGGAAGATGGAACACAACTTCAATTAAATACCCATACGGCTTTGGACGTGCGTTATACAGCGCAACAACGTATTGTAAAATTACATTATGGCGAAATACAAATACGTACGGCCAAAGAAAAAAATCATGCTTATCGCCCATTCTTGGTCGAAACTGAATCGGCAAATCTGCAAGCGCTTGGCACTGTATTTAATGTTCAGTATTTCAACAACAGTGAAAAGCAAACCTGTCTAGGCGTCATAGAAAGCGCAGTGAAAGTCAGTTTGAACCAGTCCAAACACACTAAAATTGTCCATGCTGGTGAGCAGCTATGCTTTGATGATCGCAATTTTAAAGCATTACAAAGTTTAGATCCGAATATATTGGCATGGAAAAACCACATGGTCATGGCTTTTGAAATGCCGTTGGAAAAATTGCTTCAAGAGATTGGGCGCTATCAACACCAATATATAGATATTGCCCCTCAATTGAAGTCGTTAAAAGTTTCAGGTTCATATCCAGTCAATGACTTTGGCACCTTACAAACAGCATTGCAATTCAGCTATCCAATCAAAGTAGAACGTTATTTCGGGGATCGTGTGTTGAGTATTCAGCCGAAACCTGAAAATCAGAAAAGTAAAAATAATTAAGAAATGATGTCAGTTTTTACAGACAAGGCGGGTAATACAGTTAAACCAAACAAATTGGAGAAAATTGATGAGCACCTCATTCACACTCAACCGCCTTGCATCTCGTTTAAAAACAGAGACAGCCAGTCAACATGAATATATGCATCAATTAATGGAAAAAGCCCAAGTATTTAAAGACGTCGCACATTATGCAAAATTTACTTTGTCGCAGTATTATTTTCAAAAAAATGTCGAATATTTATTTCAACATTCCAAGGTCGCAGCCTTGATTTCTGATTTAGATATTCGTGGGCGTTCACAAGCGGCTTACTTAGATCTACAAGATCTTCAGATCGAACCAGAGCCGTTGGCCTTGGTTACTGAAACTGTCGGCTTTCCTGAAGCGCTGGGTTGGATCTATGTATCAGAAGGTTCTACGCTGGGTGCAGCATTCTTATTTAAACAAGCACAACAAAGTTTGGGGTTTTCCGCAGATTTTGCTGCGAGAAATTTAGCTGCCTATCCAGAAGGGCGGGCTAAAGTCTGGAAACACTTTATTGAGGAACTTGATCAGGCTGACTTTACTCAAGACGAGCAAGATCGCGTCATTTACGCTGCTCAACAAGCCTTTGATTATTTTGGCGCATTATTAAAAGACATTCATTCAACATGAAGAAAGTGTCTTCTGTTAGTAATCACACACAAGGCAAAGACTTAACGCTGTTAGCGTCTTTGCCAGTAACGCCATCCGCAAATTTACATTCATCTTCAGTAGTGCGTGTGATCTGCATCATCTTGGCAATTTTGTGTCTTGTTCTCGCTGTGGTGGGCATTGTATTGCCAGGGATCCCAACTTTTGATTTCCTCTTTTTAGCAACGATTTTTGCCTCAAAAGGTTCAGCAAGTTTGCATCGTTGGTTACATCAAAATCGTTATATGGCAATGTTGCTCGCACAGTATCGTGGCGGTTTTAAACAGATTTCGCGTTCACGTAAATGGATGATGACATTGAGTATTTTATTCGGTACGACAATGTTAATGGTGTCTTCACTGCATCTGCACTTAAAACTTAGCCTGCTGGTCATTTTGCTGATTGGGTTGATCTGGATTTGGACCAGACCAGAAAAAATATAAATTTTCATGTCATGTTTTAACAATTCACTGGGTAATGATTATTGAAAATGAAAATCATTCACAAGTGTGGGCGTTCCTATGAAGTTTAAAAAACAAACTCTGGCCATGTTAATACAGTGCTTTTGCATCAGTGGTGTTTATGCACAAATTACTCCCAATGTTTCAATGGCAGCGAAAAAAGCGCCAGAAAAATATTATCAAATTTCAGAGAACCAATTGGGCTATGTGTTATCAAGTTTTGCAGCACAGTCGGGTATTGCCTTAAGTTATGATGCAAATATTTTAAAAGGGCTGAAAAGTAAAGGAATTACCGGGCATTATAGTGTAAAGCAAGGCTTCGATTATTTGCTTACAGATCACCCTTTTCGGGTAGAGCAGCAAGGTTCGACTTATGTCTTAATTGCTAAATCTGGCTCAGCTAAACCGAATACAGAGAAAAACACTGCGACTGGAAATACAAGCACTCCGTTAAATAACACTTCGCTTTTCAATAATATGGACAGTGATGTTGTTACGCTTCCTCAGATTAAAGTCAATGCTGTACAACAAAAACAAAAGGTCAATACAACACAGCTGAATCGTGAACACATTAGCCGATTTAGAGGCACGGGGAATGGTGATGTGTTTTCTGATATCGCTGGTGTACAAGTCAATAGCCTGCGTAACGAAGCGGGTGCAATAGATATTGGTATCCGTGGAGTACAAGGTGAGGGACGTGTCCCTGTAATTATTGATGGTAGCCTACAATCCAGTCATACCTTTCGAGGCTATCAAGGAGAGAGTGACCGAACTTATATCGATATGGATTTGATTAGTCAGATTGAAGTCGAAAAAGGCGCATCGCGAGCGAAATTTAGTGTGGGCGGTATTGGCGGAATCGTGAAAATGCGTACACTCAGTGCAAACGATATTTTGCTGCCAAATCGTCAATCAGGTATCATGCTAAAAGGCAGTTTTTATAACAATAACAAAGCACCACAGACCTCAGATAATGAGCGTGAGCAGATGTCTTATCTGCTTCGTAATAAACTGTCCTCGAATAATTTTCAAAATGGCGCTGGCACAATCGCTGCTGCTTATCGGAATGATGTATTCGATCTGGTGGCTGCTTATAGTAAACGGGAAGTCGGTAATTACTATGCTGGAAAACATGGCATTGATTATTATGAAGCGCGAGATATTGTTGATGTTGGACCCGGTCAAGAGGTGGTAAACACCAGTTATAAAAGTGATTCAGGCATCATCAAAGCGGGTATGAATATTACAGACGAACATCGTGTTGAAGTGAATATGCGCCGCCATATGCAAAAAGCGGGTGAGGTCATGGCTTTTTATTGGAATAGATCGCAAGTGATTGATCCCAACTCTCCACCTTGGGGATATATCGATGGTGATTATGTTCTACCCAAATATATAGAGGGCGCATTTACCATGCCACAATGGTCCCTTGGAACCGCAGCGATTAATGCATTCAGTGCCAACTATACCTATAAGCCCAAGAATAATCAGTGGTTTGATTTAGAGTTAGGGGTTTGGCATACCAATGCCAAATATCGCCAGCACAATGGCATGCTTGGCATAGCCAATTCTCATTATGGCGACCAATACTGGGGAAGTTTTCAGGACTATCGTAGTGGGATTAATTTAGAAAACACCAGTAAAATTGATGCTTTAACCTTGAATTATGGTCTGACATATGACGAGCAACGGATGAAGCCACAAAACCTTATTGATACTGAAATCGCACGTGATGGATTACGTCAAGAGTCCTCTCTATTTCTCAATGGCGATTATATCTTTAAAGATTTTACCCTGAGTTTAGGCAGTAAATGGCATAAGGCAAAAGTTAAGGATTATGGAGACCAGTATGTCGCAATGAGACCGGTCGCCAATTCCGATTTAAATGACAAAGGCTATGCGCTTCGAGATTATGACGGAAAGATCGACTGGATAGCGCAGCTGAATTATCAGTTGCTGAATGGTATTGATGTCTATGGAAAACTCTCCAATATGTACCGCAGTCCAAGTTTGTTTGAATCGACGGTTTCCAAACAAACCTTTAGTTATGATCCAGATCTGCCGATTAAATCAGAGAATTCTCGTCTTGTTGAGTTTGGTTTTATTGGGCACAACGATAACGTTTTCACTGAAGCAGATCAGTTAAAATTCAATATCAATTATTTCCGTAATCAAACCCAAAATTTCCTTACCCAAGGAGTCCAACGTAAAGAGATTGTTAATGAGATTACGCCTGATTTTATTTTGCCTTATACCACCTCATATACTTTTCTAAATTATGAGCAAGTTGTATTGAAAGGTTTAGAGTTTAATCTTGCTTACCAGCATCCAAGTTTCTTTGTAAACATGAACGGAACTTTATATCAAGCACCGAAAGTATGCCCAGCAACGAAAGATGATTGTAATGAGGTCGGAGATTCTTGGAGTCTGATTTCAACACGCTTGCCACCACGTAAACTTTTTAATATTAGCTTAGGCAAGAGTTTGTTTGAAAATAAACTCAATGTGGGGGTACGTGCCAGATATCATTCTGAAAAGAAAAATCCTAAAGGTTGGTTACAGGGTACAGGGGTGAGTGGGCGTGCGGTGACTGAAATTTCTTCGGAAACCTTAGTTGATATTTTTGCGAGCTATAAACTGAATCCAAATCTAAATCTCTCGTTTAATGTTGATAACTTAACGAATCGTTATAACTTTGATCCTGGTACAGTGATCGGTATGCCGATTCCCGGCCGTACCATCAAAGCAGGGTTCGAAATGAGATTCTAGAATCATAAAACAATCAAATCGGCAAAACCCAACTGTAAAAATATGAGTGAACAAAGTAGTGAAAAATTAGTCGCTCTAAATCAGTAGCTCTAAATCAGTGGTTAGAATCACGCACTAAAAAGTTGATAAAGTTCTATAGATATAGAACTTTATCATCAAAAAAATATATTCAAGCGATCTGATCATACACAGAAGCTTAGACAGCAGCATGCTGGTTGTTCAGCCCACTCAACGTCATGATTTTTGCGCCTGTTGGTCAATCTGTTGTAGCTCTTGTAAACGGCTAGAGTGAAGGTCTTGATTGTGTTGACGAGCCAACAGACTGTAAATGGTAGGTAAGACAAAAAGCGTAAAGAAGGTCCCGATCAACATACCGCAGACAATCACAAGCCCTAAGCCAAAACGACTATGTGCACCAGCGCCTGTGGCAAAAAGGAGAGGAATCAGCCCAAACACCATTGCCGCTGTGGTCATCAGAATTGGACGTAAACGAATTTGAGCAGCTTTTAAAATGGCCGCTCGCCGATCTAAACCTTCATGAACTTGTAATTCATTGGCAAACTCAACCATTAAAATACCATGCTTACTAATCAGTCCAATCAGTGTGACTAAACCAATCTGAGTGTAGATATTGACTGTGGCAAGTCCAAAAGCCAAGGGGATTAATGCGCCACAGATCGACAGCGGAACCGTAATTAAAATAATAAATGGATCCATTAGGCTTTCATATTGAGCGGCTAAAACCAGATAAATCACAATCAGCGCGGCTAAAAATGCAAACATCAAAGCGTTACCTTCCTGTACATACTGACGTGCATCGGCTTGCCAGTCATAACTAAATCCAGTCGGTAACTCAGATGCAGCCTGTTCCAGAAAACTTAAAGCTTGACCTAAGGAAACCCCAGCGGCGGGGATTGCCTGAAAAGTTGCAGCATTTTGTTGATTAAATTGAGTGAGTTTATTGGGTTCTACCTGTTCACTTAGACTGACCACAGTCGATAAGGGAATCAGTGTGCCTTGGTCCGTACGAATAAACTGTCGTGTCAGTGCTTGAGCTGTCAAACGTTGTGTATTGATGCTTTGAGGAATCACATCATAGGCACGACCTTGCATACTAAAACGATTGATATAATTCTCACCAACCAATGTCGCCAAGGCTTCACCGATATCTTGCATACGAATACCCAGACTATTGGCTTTGGCCCGATCAACCTCGATTCGAATCACGGGGTTATTAAAGTCAAGATCACTGTCGACCACCACAAAAAGGCCACTTTCACGGGCTTTTTGCTTGATGTTCTGCATCGCCTGATAAATGGTTGAATAGTCTTGTGCACTACGCAACACCATTTGTAAGGGTAATCCACCTGTTGAACCGGGAAGCGCAGGATTTTGGAATACAAAAATACTGCTGCCTTCTACATCACCGACTTTGGCTTGAAGTTGCTGTTGAATTTCATCCGCAGAATGCACTCGCTCAGACCATGTCGAAAGGGTTGTTCCACCAAAACTTGATGCAGGCCCATCTGTACCATTAATAATCCACGTGGTACTGGTTTCGGGGAAAGTCCAGAAGATTTCATCGAGTTTTTGATTAAAGTGCTCAGCATAATTCAGATTGGCATGTTGTGGTGCTTTGATGGCTGCCAATACACTGGCTTGATCTTCATTGGGCGCCAATTCTTTTTGAGGGAGTTGGTAAAGCAATGGAAGGCTAATAAAAATAGCGATCGCAAAAACCACTGTGATCCAACGATGATGTAAGGAAAAATTGAGCAATTTACTGTAAAGCTGGGTCAAATGTTCAAAGAACCATTCGGCTGCTTTTGCCATTTTACCTTCCTGCTGTTTGGATTGAAGTAGAAATGAACTCATAACAGGAGATAGGGTTAAGGCAATAATCCCTGAAACTAAAACTGCGCCCGCTAAAGTAAAAGCAAATTCTTTAAATAAGGAACCAGTTAATCCACCCATTAAACCAATCGGAGCATACACTGCGGCCAGTGTAATGGTCATTGCAATTACAGGGCCTGCGACTTCTCGTGCCCCGATCAAAGCTGCTGCAACAGGGGATGCACCTTCTTCAATATGCCGATGGACATTTTCAACCACCACGATTGCATCATCTACAACCAAGCCGATGGCGAGTACCATGGCTAAAAGCGTGAGTAAATTGATGCTAAAGCCACATAACAGCATTAAACCCAAGGCACCTAACATTGACAGTGGAATTGTCACTACAGGGATCAAGACACTACGTAAAGAACCTAAACACAGATAGATCACAGCAATAACAATAATCAGCGCTTCGATAAAAGTATGTAAAACTTCATCAATAGAGGCATCAATAAAACGGGCTGTTTCATAGGCAAGATTGACTGTAACCCCTGGCGGTAAGGTTTTTTGGATCTCAGGCAATTTATCTTTAATTCCCTGTACGATCACCAAGGGATTGCCTGTAGGCGTCGCTTGTAGACCGACAAAAATTGCAGGTTTACCATCCATAGAGGCACTTGTTTCTGTCGAAGCAGCGCCAAGTTCAACTGTTGCCACATCTTGTAGACGAATTAGATTTTGAGCATCATTGCGTATCACCAGATTTTTAAAGTCCTGAATACTGGTGAGATCTGTGGAAACATTGACATTTGAAACCACCAATTCGCCTTTGACCTGACCCGGTGCGGCTTGATAGTTATTTTGACGGATCGCATTGGCGACATCGGCGGCAGTTACCCCACGACTGGCCAAACGATCGGTATCCAACCAAATCCGCATAGCCAAACGCTGACTGCCATAGGTCTGTACCTTAGCAACGCCATCAATTGTAGACAGCATGGGCTCTACCACCCTAGACAAATAATCGGTTAATTCAGCCAAGGACAATTGTTCGCTGGAAAATCCGATATAGGCAACATCGGTAGATTCACCTGAAGAACGTTCAATGACTGGATCAAATGCCTGTTCTGGTAGTTTGTAACGGACTTGATTAACCTTTGCCATCACCTCTGTTAATGCTTGGGTCGAGTCACGATTTAATTGCATGCGTAACGTTACAGCACTGCGACCTTGTACAGTAGAAGAACTGAGATAGTCGATGCCCTCTACCGAAGATACTGCTTGAGCAATGGGTTGGGTGACAAAACCTTGCATAAGTTCAGCAGATGCACCGGGATATTCTGTATTGATACTAATCGTTGAAGTTTCAAGTAAAGGATACTGTCGGATAGGCAGTTTATTTAGGGAAAACAAGCCTGCCAGCAAGATCAAGGTGCTGACGACCAAGGCCAATACAGGGCGTTTTACAAAAAGGTCAGTAAATTTCATTCGCTTATCTCCCTAGACTCTGGGCTTGATCGAGGAAGATTGGGGATGCTCAAGTGTATTTACGCTCGGCTCAACTTGCATACCATCACTTAATTTAAGTTGTCCTGATACAACAACTTGGTCACCTGCTTTGAGCCCAGATTTGACTACAACTTTGGCTTGATGGCGCTCACCGAGCACTACCGCCACACGTTGCACAATCAGCTTGTTATGGTCTTGTTTTGCAAGGAAGACAGTATTGCCATAAGCCGTATAGGTAATTGCAGTTTCAGGAACGACCAAGCTTGGGCGTTCAGATTCTTGGATGTCTAATTTGGCATACATGCCCGGTTTTAACTGTTGATCATGGTTATTTAAAATTGCTTGCCCCTGCACAGTTCGCGATGTTGTGATCATTGGTTCGATTGCACTTACCACAGCTGTAAAGGACTTTTCAGGAAATGCATCAATTTTGAGTTGTACAGATTGTCCGATTTTTAACCTCGATGCCAATTGTTCATCCAATGTGAAATTGGCAAGAATTTGTCGAAAGTCGACCAGATTAGCAATACCAGTGCCTGCCTCTAAATATTGCCCTTGATGTACTTGGCGTATTCCCATGACACCAGAAAAGGGTGCGCGAATCGTTTTCTGTTTTATGCTGGCTTGTAGCTGTTGGATTTCTGCACGCGTCATATCTCGATCAGCCAATGCGGTATCCATTTCTGCCCGTGAAATTGCATGACTATCAATCAGAAGTTTGGTGCGGTGATAGGCCATTTCGGCTTGTTTCAATTTGGCTTGCAAGCGACCTAATTGAGCTTGTTCAACATCGGTATTGAGTTGAATCAGTATTTGACCTTGTTGAACAGCTTGTCCAGATTGGAAATAAATCTGTTTGATCATACCTGTTGTTTCTGTTGACACTTTGACTTGTCGGATTGCTTCCAACTCACCAATACTGGAAAGCACTTGTGGAATATTTTGTTCGACCACTGTACTCAAGGCCACTTTGACTGGAGGGTAAGCGCCAGATTGATGCGTTTCACTTGAACGAGAATTTAAATAAAAATAGATTGCGACACCCACGAGAATTAAAGTGATCGCGATTAGAAAAAGCCATTTGTTGTTTTTCATGCGACAACTCCAAGGTTGCGGAGTTGTTGTCGAAAATGACTGGCAATGGTCAGCGCTAAAAGACCGCCAATCACTGAAATATGTTCAAGTGCAAAGTAAAAGGCGATATTGGCTTGAATACCAGTCATGTTCCAAAAGTGATGCACAATCACAATTGTCAGTGCTAAAAATACGGAAAGAATCAGTGTGCCAAACCACATATGCCGCTCAAATAAAATACAATAGGCGCCCACAAGTAGAATCAACGCAGAAGCATAATTAAATAACCACGCAGGCTCTAGACCAGCCGCCTGCATTTCCAAAAATCCTGTTTCAACAGCAAGAATTTTACTAAGTCCTGAACTTAGAAATAGAAGCGCAAGACAACATCTGCTGATGGTCCACAGCCATTGGCTTTCTAAACTTAATTTAATGAAATATGGCATGAGAATATTTCCTGAAGAAATAAGGCTGGATGATTAAAACCTTTAAAATGAATAGCTTGTTGTTATTCATAATAGCTGTGGCAAGCAGTCTAAAACCTCAAGTTATATTTAGGTCAATGGGCTTTGATCAGAAAATTTGTAGAGAGATAAGATTTTTACAATGGCTTAAATTGGCGATAGCGTTTTTGTATTTTGAGTTGTAATGATGAAAAGCCATGGCAACTAAGATCAATTGACAAATGTACTTTGCTGAATTATAAAACCTCAAGTAATGTTGAGAAATATCAAAATGCAGACAGAAGAAAAAATTGATTTTAATCGAATGATGACGGTAGGAGAGGTGGCTAAACGGAGTGGTGTAGCCGTTTCAACCTTGCATTTTTATGAGTCGAAAGGGCTAATTAAAAGTATTAGAACAAATGGAAATCAGCGTCGTTTTCCATCAATTGTCTTACGTTATATTGGAATTATTAAGGTTGCACAAAAAGTCGGAATTTCTCTGGAGGAAATTAAAAATGCATTAAGTGTTTATCCTATGGGAAGCAAATTAACCGCAGAACAATGGTCAGTGTTATCATCGCATTGGCGGAAGGATTTAGATGAGCGTATTCAAAAACTAACACGTTTAAGAGATGAAATGGATTGGTGTATCGGTTGTGGTTGTTTATCTCTAAAACAATGTCCTTTACGTAATCCAGAAGATGTATTGAGACACCAAGGATCTGGTCCCCGTATTTTAGAGCGTGAATAAGAATCCAATATTAATATTTTATGTGATTGATATTTTAGCTTTTTATCTTGAGCTGTTGATCACTTATGTTTGGTGAAAAAACTCTAAGCACACTTTCAAGCTTTTAATCAGTACAAATGACCATTATCAATAATGATATTGAGCTAAAACGGGCATATTCAAAACCAAGTCAGTGTTGTGTAAATAACCAGTAATAAATAGACAGGTCTGTATAGACAGTCCGCCTAACTTTTTAGTAGAATACATCACAATTTAAAATTAAATAATAATGCATGTCTAACAATATTTACGCTGCTTTGGAGCAGCTTGGCTTATCAGCACAAAAACGTGCGATTCACGTACAATTTTCTAATTCGGCGTTGAGCCAACAGGTGTTCCTACAACGTATCGATGGAACACATCAAATCAATGAGGGTGTTCGGCTCCAACTCATCTGTCTTGCAACGTCAGCAACTATCCCTTTAAAAAGCTTTATTGGAACTCAAGCTGCAATTGATATTGTCACAGATAAATCCGAATTAACCCGTATTTCAGGGATTGTGACCCAAGCCGATATTGGCGCATCTGATGGTTCTCTTACCATCTATCGTTTGACCGTAGAAGACCCAACAGCACTTTGGAAGCATCGTAGAAACTCTCGAGTATTTATGAATAAATCGGTTGTGGATGTGATCCAAACCGTATTCCAAGAATGGACACAACGCAGCCCGCTGTTTGCTTCAAGTCTAAGTTTAGATAAGAGTGGACTGAGCAAAGACTATGATGTGCGTCCATTCATTATGCAGGCATCTGAAAGTGACTTTGACTTCCTGACCCGTTTGATGAGAAGTGAAGGGATTAACTGGCTGATCGATGAAGCACAACTTAAAGTGTCGAGCTCAACAGAACAAATCCAAGCACAAAAGCTCCGTTTAATTGATGACAATTCGCAATTTAGTGCCTTAGAACGCCGCAATATTCGCTTCCATAGAAGCAGCGCCGTAGAAAAAACTGATTCAATTACCAATTTTATTGGTCAGCGTTCCATTCAACCGACTTCAGTGTATATCCAACGTTGGCAAGCTGATGTATTGGATATCGATGAAGGCGCTGGCAGTGTCCAAAGTAAACATAGCCATAGTGAAAATTATGACAATGCCAGTCTAGCTTTAGAACAAGCATGGCACTTTAGCCCTGCATGGATACAAGACCTTAATGGCGAAGATGGTGCAACGCCATCGAGCAACAGTCAGATTGAAAAGTTTAATCAAAACCTCAGTAACTACTACGATTCACAAGCCAAACAATTTACAGCAACGTCAACAGTGCGCGATGCACATGTTGGTTATTGGTTTGAACTGAATGAACACCCTGAGATAGATCAACACTCAGGTGCAGACAAAGAATTTTTAATCACGGCTAAAAGCTTTTATAACCAAAATAACTTACCTAAAGATCTCACCGATCAAGTCACCGCTTTAGTCCAACAAAGCAATTGGCAAACAAGTCAAATCACCAGCAACACGAGTGATGAACGTCAAGCCAGTAATTTAATCATTCAACGTCGTAATATCAGCACGGTTCCAGCTTATAACCCATTACAACACCGACCGGTTGCATCACCACAACGGGCCAAAGTGGTGGGGCCAAGCGGAGAAGAAATCCATGTCGATGAATGGGGGCGTATTAAAGTTCGCTTCCTGTTTAGCCGTAATGAAGACAATACCCATGATGGCGGTGCGGGTTCTAATGACAATGACACAGATTCCGCTTGGGTCGATGTCCTGACCCCATGGGCAGGTGAAGGCTATGGGGCGCGATTCTTACCGAGAATCGGTGAGATTGTCGTGATTGACTTCTTTGATGGCAACATTGACCGTCCATTTGTGGTTGGGCGCATCCATGAAGCGCAACGTCATCCAAGTAAGTTTGATGACAAAGGCAAACTGCCTGACACCAAGAAACTGGCAGGAATCAAAAGTCGAGAGTATCAAGGCAGTGGCTACAATCAACTGAGGTTTGACGATACTACTGGCCAAATCAGCAGCCAGTTACAGAGTAGTCATGCCGCCAGCCAACTCAACTTGGGCAAACTGAGTCATCCTAAAGACAAAGCGGAAAGTGATGATCGTGGTGAAGGCTTTGAGCTGAGGACTGACCAATGGGGAGCAGTACGTGCAGGGCAAGGTTTACTGCTTTCAACCTACAAACAAGACCAAGCCAAAGGTGATCACCTTGATTCAGAGCTTGCCAAAAAGCAACTTGAAGGTAGCCAGACCAACAGTAAAGCTTTAAGTGATATTGCCAAGAATCAAAAGACGGATGAAATTGAATCAATTGAACAACTCAAAGAATTTACAGAACAGCTTGAGCAAAAAATTGCTAAATTCAATAAAGCCTTGCTTTTATTAAGTTCACAAGATGGGATTGCCTTAAGTACCCCTGAAGATATTCATTTATCAGCAGATTCGCAGATCAATCAAATTGCAGGCGATAGCATCAACTTCAGTACGCAAAAGAATTTGATTGCACACGCGCAAAACAAACTCAGTTTATTTGCTGCTCAAGGTGGCATTAAAGCCATTGCAGCACAAAGTAAAGTTGAAATTCAAGCACAGTCCGATGCTTTAGATGTATTTGCCAAGCTGGGTATTACCATTTCATCTACCGATGACAAAGTTGTGATTAGTAGTCCTAAAGAGGTTGTGATTACAGGTGGTTCATCGCAAATTGCACTGAATAATTCAGGAATTTTCCCAAAAACAGGTGGGAAGTTTGAGGTAAATGCTGGGCAGCATGTGTTTAAACCTGGAGCGCATATCAATACTTCACAGCAATCATTGAAGTCAAATAATGCCAAAGGTGTGTTGGAGCTTTTCAATAGCTATATTCATGGTGAGGCGATAAAACAAGGGAAATTTAAAGTAGTTGATGTTAAAGGTAAAGAGTATCAAGGCGTGCTTGATGATAAAGGCTTTGCACGTGTTACAGGTATTGTTCCTGGCTCAGTTAAAGTATTTTTTGAGGGGGATCAAAGAGACCCTTGGGCTGAAACTAGCGATTTAAAAAGACAAGCTGAATGGCCAACAGCACAACAATTGCAAGGTTTTAATCCAGATATGATATTTAATTCGATTTCAAAAATGAAAAATACAAGATCAGATGTGTCTAAGGCATTTAGTAATGCTTCAAGTTTGGTAGCTAATCTTCATAAATTAAAAAAATAAGGAATAAAACATGGGTCTATTAGGCATGGTTCCTTCAAAGCCAGGAAACCAAACTCCAGAACAAAAACAAGCAATAGTAACATTAGCAAATAGTTTAAAAACACAAGTAGTGGTTGCCCCACTTCAAAGTATTGCACCTCAAGATATTGTATCAAGTCGAAATAGCATCAATGATTGGCTAAAACAAAATATTAGTCCTGATTTTGATTTAAATACTCTTGCTCAAGTTGCAGGCGTTATTCCTGTAGTCGGTAATATTATTGCTCTTGTTGATGTGGTCGAAGGTATTATCAATTTGGTTAACAATCCAAATCCGGCCATATTAGATTGGGTAGATCTTTGTATTAATTTGATTGGTGTTATTCCAGTCCCTCCAGGAATGAATAC